CATCGGGTCAACCCGAACCCGACCCGTTTTGAAATCGGGTCGGGTTCAACCCGGATTTTCTGGGTCGGGTCCGGGTCGGGTTTTCATGTCGTGTCAAATATTGACACCCCTAGTATATTGGCTTGAGATCAAAAGAGCTTAAACGTTTGAAAGATTTTGATACTCCACCAAAGCATCATCACCAGACCACTACCATGGAACCGCCAATGCAAATCAATGTTGTTGAATTGTCATCCCATAACTAACATTGTCTTATTGCTACCCCTTGATTGTTATTAACGTACTAATGTTGTAACCAAACCATCACAACGGAACCTCCATTGTTAGATTATACCTAATAGTCATCATTGAACCATTGCATGTAGAATAACATTATCAAATGATTGTTGGCCAATCATTGTTATCAAACCACCATTATAACCAGACTACCATCATCAGACTAAAACCACATCACCTCCACCATCAAACATCTTGTGGGCTCCAAAAATTTACCCCCGGCCCTTTGTGCCTTGACTTTTTTGTTATTTGGTAGGGAGAGTTTTAACACGGATAAATTTTCATAAGGAATAATAGATTTTAGATATGATAAGATAATACCTAGAGATTTCACCCTTATTTTACAAATACTTTATAATGTAAGTTCTGGTTTCCCATAACCGCAAACCCCTATGACTAATTTCCCTTCCGAATAATGAAAGGGAACTTTCGATTAAGGCTAGTCATGAGATAGACATTGAGTGCTTGCATGTAGTAGCAATAATTTCAAGGTTTTGAATTTAATTTTGAATTCTATAGTTTATGATTTTAAATTTATCACTAGATACTTAAAACAGGTGATAGGGAAAATGAAAACAAGTACGATCAAGATTGCATGGTTACGTCATCCCGGGCTATCATCATCTCTAATCTACTTAGTTAGAGGAGGTAGTCAACCCAACCAAACAGAAAGCACATTATCGACATCCATGGGTTACTTTGTACAAGAATACCTTATTGACTTAGGATAATGTTTATCTAAGGGGATATAATTGAATCTACCTTAGCTAACAAAAGGGTTTTATGCTTATCGACTATACCCTATGATTTATTTCTCAAAGGTCATGATCGTAATATAGTGGTGTCAAAACTTTTAATTTAATTTTGAATTTTGGAATTTTAATAGGATTTGAATATAGATCCCTCCGATTGAAATTGTCTGTCAACACGACCATCATCAGGGTAATGTTAAAGTCAATTTAGATGCTTGTATTTTATATGAATTTGGGAAGCATTTTAAATATTTGGGATCCCCTCCGATTAAGATTTTATGTCAATACGGTCGTCATCGGGGTGATTTTGCAATCACTTGAAAATGTTTGTATTTTATAGGAATTTGGAAGTATTTAAAAGGTAGGGTCCCCTCTGGTTGAAATTTTCTTTCAACAAGGTCATCATTGAGGATTTTTAAATAATTTATTATTTAAACTTTGTCAACTATGTTTTCCCACTAACAGAGGATCATATTTAACAATTGATGATTATGCGAATGCTAAAATTGAAGGCTTTTGTTTTATAGTGAGTTTGTCTAAAAAACTTTTAAACAATCATAATAGATTCATGATTAGGCATTCATTTGTTAACCCATTTTAGGTCGACTCTTGTCCATTCAAGGAGGAGGATGAAACTTGAAATATTTGATCCTCGTAGCATTCTTGGGTCGTTGGATTAAGAATTAAATATGACGATCGGAGCACATGCAGGATGATATTTTCATATAGAAACTTCTAACATTCTTTTTCCAATGTTTATAATCTACTTGGAAGTCTTCAGATGCAAGCTTTCCATAAACACCAACTTGTGAGTTATTTGGCCAATAGGGAGTTTTCTTTGACCTTTGTGGTCAATCATTAGACCATTATATATCACATATAGTGTGATCGTTAAGCAATTTGTACACATGCTTATGGATAAATATTCCATATTGCATTTGGATTGCCATATTCTTGGCAGACAAGGGGGAGGGGGTTGTTTTGCTTTTTAGATTCAAAACAAGTGTTGTTTGATAGTTTTTCATAGATTGTCAGAACCATTTCATTTAGGGCTATTGCAAATATGTTTTTCATGGATTATGATTTTTTTTGTTAGCAAACACTCTTGTTTCTCTATGACTGTCTTTTCTACTGACATTTCAGGGCCACAAGATCAGACAGCAATTGGAACCAGCTCAAGTTTGGATAGACTAGGTCTGAGTAAGTCTGTAAATTTCTTTCTTCCCTTCTTGAGTCAATTGTAACCTTTGAAGTGTCTGATGCTAAGTAACCCTACACACACACTTGAATGATTTTTCTATATGATTTAGAATTTCTATTTTTACTCACATCGTCACAGACGATCGGGTTCAAAACAGAAACCCTAATCAAGGCATCATGATTAAGGAAGTCATCATTAGCGGATCGTCCTGGACGATACTTGTATCGGCCAGGACGATAGGCTCAAAACAGAAAGAATCAGCCGCCATGATCTATTTAGGCATTATGTATTTTTGGTAATCGGTCAGGACCATCTTGTATCGGCCTGAACGATATAACATAATTATGCGTAAATTAATTCGGTAATTAAGGAAAGCAATTAAGGATGATTGATAAGATCACATCGTCTTGGATGATCTCAAGATCGGCAGGGACAATTTTGTAATATCAAAATCTGCTCCAGGATCGTCCAGGACGATCTGGGATCATCCTGGGACGATCAGTGGAAGATTTGCTCCAGAATTTGCCCAGATTTGCTCCAGGTGTTTTTCTGTAGGTATCGTTCGGGCCGATAGGGACATCGTCCAGGCCGATCTGTACTATTCAAAATATCGGCCGGAGAATAGTTCTGGGAACCG